ATTCAGTAATATTCCCGATTCAGGAAAGGGTGGGTCTATAGAGAGACATAGTATTGTACGAAGTAATTCAAGAACGCTAGATAAACTGGATGGAATACGAAAAAAGGTTTGCGGTTTAAAACATACGGTTTCCCTTCCATTTGCTACAATAGATCATACTTGTAAAGATTTTGGTGTCTAAGAACCTATATCAGAACACCAAGCGAAAAAGCATTCTCCTTTTTTTTCACTAGGTATGCATTTTAAGCATAATTCTTAAGGCCTCCAAAGAATTGTCTTTTTTTATTTCAATATTACATATAAGTATAATTAAAAAAGACATAATCTTGAAGTACAATTATGCTTTCAAGACATTAACTGCAACAAATATCTGCATAAACATTTTAATATTTTAAAAGAAGTCAACTTGTGTTTTACCTTTCTGCTGAACTAAAGCAAATACAAAAAAATCAGCTCATAATTTCCCACACACCAACGCAGGGACCATATTCTGATGCAGCGAAATATTGCGCCTTTCCACCAATGTCACTCATACGCCAGCGCCTTGATGCGCTTATCAAGCATAGCATCGCATTGAAATGTGAAATGCACTCATTCCGCTTGAACTGCAACATTTAAACGCAAAGCGACAGCACGAGCAATAACAGCAACAACAGCAACGAGTTGAGGCGTGCAGAATTCGTGATGTATTTAACCGTTAAATCAGACATTTTGACATTTACCTGCAGCTTACATTACTGGCTGCTGGCGAAAAGCCCTTACACGACCAAAGGAACCGAAAGCCTGCTGCCGCTGCTGACATTGTCGCGCTTGCTGTTGTTACTTTTTAGTTGTTGCTCTTATTGCTTTCGTTGTTTTTGCTGTTGTCGTTTTTGTTGTTGTTGCTGTCGATTCCACGCAATTAAGGCAGATTTCACTTTTCATATTCATGCACCAAGCAGAAGGCAAAACGGCAACGCGCTGAAAGCGAAAATCTCACGAATGATGCGCTGAAGCTACAGACAACACATACACACATGTACATAGACAATACTCGTGCCTAGCAAACAATCAATAAGCACTCTTCCTTTCCATTGCCACGCTGACTTGTCGGCGAATTCGATACGCTCCTTTGCGTTCGCTCCAGCCCTGCCAGTTGCCGGTGCATATTTTGCGGCGTTGACTGGCTTTTGACCTCCCCACTCGACTCAAGTACCCACATACATACATACATACATACATGTGTGCCTAAAGTGCTTACCTCAATGCGCTGCGGAATTCTCTGGGCAGTGTCATTATTATTTTCGCTTTTCCTTAGCCAGCCATATTTTTGTAGCTGAAACTTGCTGTTGATGCAGGTCTCAAGCGCTAATACGTGAAGTGAAGAAGCACATATATTCGCAGGTTGCGCGGCTATGTGGCTGCCAAGTTGTCAGACAACGAAGGCGCTGCACTTAGCCACGCCGCACTGCAGCATTGTATCACGTTCTTGGCGCATTTTCATGCACTTTCTCCCGATTCTGGATACCACACACACACACACCGCGTTGGGCGCTCACACATACATTGGCTTTGTGGTGCCACAGAGACCACTGCAACCGCGGCCGTTGCCGTTGCCGTGGCCGCGTGTCATCTTCGATATGACTGACTTTCGGCACTTGGCCGTCTGCTGCGCTGGTTTGCTAACCTGCCTGGAATGTACTTGCTCACTCAGCGCTCAGGCTAAATATGCGCAGACAGTTTTTAGCTCGTTCTGCATTCCTGTTTTTTGCATTTCCATTTCTTTTTTTTTCCTATCCACATACATATTCATGCCATTTATTCAGAAATTTTTACCTTCTGCCGCGCTGCGCATTGGAGGTCAGCAGCGCACCACATTTTTGTGGCTGTGACTAGCTGGCGTTATCGTCATCAGAGTCATCATCATCATCAAAAATAGCACCAGCAACATCAACAGCAATGGCATCATCATTGTGATGGCCGCCATCATCATCTCCTCACACATAACCGTCTGTCAACTAAAAGCATAATGACGAAAACAACAAAAACACAAATCGCAAATCTTGTTGTTTTTCGCATTGAAGTTGCTACTGCCACCAACCAGCAGGAAGACACCGCACCAAACCAAACCAAAGCAGCCCAAGCTAACGACTTCAAATAACGCCAGCGCGCCGTCGCCTTGTCTGTGGTTTAGTTGCGCCGCTGCTGCTGTTACTGCCGCTGGCGGCGAACTGGTTGCATTGCGCTGCTTCACTTTTTTCAACATTTGAATATGCAAATCATTTGTTGGTTGATTATTTTTATCGTTTTGTTACGTCTTTGTTGTTGGTTTGTTGTTTGCAAGCACGAGCATTTCTCATCAATTTTTATTGACATCGCTTTTCCAGCATTTTTTCACTCTTGCTCTTCGACACAAATTTTCGGTTGTAATTTGTTTTTTTTTTTTTGATGTTTTTTTTTTGTTTTTGTTGGGTTGTTTGTTATTTTGGCTGCTTTCATTGCGCCAATTGTGAACAAATAACCTGTATATTGGCTGTATTAACCCGACTTGCAAATCTGGTAATAATAATGAACTTCAAAAATTACAGACGAACAAAATTCTTGGACAAACTGCCCGATATATGTATGCCGTATAAAGTCACCTGGTATCTTTATATTAGGTATATGGGGGCCAAGGGATGTATTGACTCGATTCAACCCATTTTTGATACACAAACAAACTACTATTAGGAAAGGATTTCTCTCTAAATCTGCCACATTCACCAATATTTTTGGTAAAAAGTCAACTATTGGCTCTGGGGTTCTAATATTCAATACCTGGAGGCTTGAACAGCTTTGGCTCGATTTACCCACCTATAAGACATAGTGTGGCGCATTATTCGTGCAAAATTTTATCCCGTTACAATAATTCCTTCTTGATTTGTACAATCTAAGGGAAACAGATGGAATTTAAAATTATGTTATATAGAATGTAGGTGTGATTGTAATCCGACCACGCCCATTTTCACACTGTAATATAAAAATGTCAGAGGTCCTCACCTAAAAGTAGGCGATGGACCCATGGTCAAATTTTACCTCGGCTCCCATAACTCCGTATTATAATATCATAACGGTGGCACCAATGGTGTAGCTTGCCATGCCGTTCTAATTTCATCACAAAGAACATCCACATTAGGGATATTTTTGGTGCATATGGCGCTTTTAATATCACCCAGAGATGTTCTATAGGGTTTAAGTCTGGGCTGGACGATTCCCACTCCAAAACATTCATAGAATTTTCATTAAAAAAATTTTTGTGTTAACTTAGGCGTATGCTTTGAATTGCTATCTTGCTTATAAAATGCAAATTTTTTTCTGATGGCATGACATTGTTTAGGATATGGACGTATTTCTCCTTGTTTATATATAAAATCCCCAAACCATGATTGATCCTCCACCATACGCAACTACGCGTGGAACATAGCGAGGATCAAATTATCGAATTATTGGACGGCAAAGATACATTCGAGCTATCAGGACCTAAGCGATTAATTTTTGTTAAATCGTTGCAAACGACATATCTCCATTGTATTGTTGTCTTAGACCAATAGGAGTTGACAAAGTCATTTAAACGAATTTTAGTCGAAAGTGGGTTCCTGCGTGCTGCCCGGTGCAGCCAAACGCCGGGCAATTGTTCTCTTGAATATTTTGGTGCAATATTGCAAATAGTTTTAAAATTCTGTATATGCTTAAGGACATTCAAAACTATTTTTCTTTTTTTGGTGCATTTGACCCTATTCGAAATTTCTTTGCACATCTTTCCAGCCCTGCGAAGGTTAAAAATTTAGCTGCGAAGGATAGGTGTACACCTCATTAAAAAACTGGAATAATGCATTTTAATATATTTTAAACCACAACTTTGAAACACATCCTTAGCAGAAATCAATAATATTGCTAATAAAAATTAGCACCCAAAGGAATTCTAATACTTTAAAAAACTGTGTCTAATTAGCTGTCGCACTTAATTCACCTTCTACATCGTAACGCATTTACTATTTGGTTAAAAATTAAAATAACTTTAACCTCACAACTGAGTTTAGTAGTAAATATATTAACACGTACAATGCAAGACTTTTAGGAATATAAATAAGGCTATATCAAATTTTTTTATCATTATACTCATCAGCCATCTATAAAAAAGTGAGCGTTTCTAATACTGTATATAATACTATATCTATATCGTTTAGTTATAGGTGATACGTACAATCATTAGCTGACAAAACTCTGTAGCAAGTGGTTGCAAGAGTATAATAAACATTGTATTTGGGTTGGTCTTTGGAACGGGTTTGGTCTTCTATCTTACCACCTATGCCACCCAATATGCGTTTTTCTCTACATATTAGGTAAGAAAACCTACAATAGACTATCAATCTCTTTCTCATTAGATTGCACCCTACAATTATACATATCTACTTATGTATTAAAATGGTTGTATAAAGTAATTATTAAGCTCTTATTATTCCCACGTTTATATAAACGAATTAAAAACTGTCACATTGCTGTAATATGAAAATTAAACACCTATGTAAGTCCAACTCGCTGCGCAATAGCTTTCAGCAAAAAATTTTCCCATCGAAAACACTTTCTCATACACTCACATTTCACTATATGTAAACGTTGGCAAGCCCACTGGTCGATGCTTTGACATGCATTCACCGCTAGGCGTAGTAAAATGACAGATTCACGAAAAAATTAACAATTTGACAATAAAAGCAATCACTTGGCAATACAATATTTTTTCATGCTCACCAATATTATTTACACCACAAATGGCATCAACGACATTAACATATATATGCACACATACATACACACATGTGCTGACTTCAAAGCTGTGCTGACAGTTAGATTGATTGAATGTCAATCCGCTTGACTGACTGCGCATGCCTGACTGACCAGCAAAGGTGGATATGATTACTGCCTGCATACTTTTTGCGTTTCGATTTATTTGATATTTGTTATTGTTTTTGCTTCGCACTTACCTGCAGTGAAAGGAAAACCATAACAGTCAATAAAATCTTTTTGATCCGCATCTTTCTCATTTTGTTGGCGTTTTTGTTGTGTTGCTACTGTTTGGGATTTCCTTTAGCTTCGTACGTGACTGTGTTGTGTCTCGTAGTTGTTGTTTTGTTATTGGTGTTGGTGTTGGTTATCGTCGATATATGATAGCTTTTATTGTCTGTTAACGTTTATATTGCTCTTTGTAGTTGCTGTTGTTACGGTGTTATACTGTTTGCAGCGTAAAAACTGTGAAAGAAAAATGAAAGTAAAAGAATATAAATAAAATGCTGGCAATCATCGATGGATATCTTTATTTCCCATAATTATGGGAACAAATTATTAGTCAGCGTTTTAATTGGCGTTTAATGGAGTGTTGTTGTTGCAAATGAATGACAATAATGCGCCAATTATAATTATATTATTGCAATTTGAAAAAAATTAGCGACATGAAAGTGATTACCAAAGAAAAGCCGCAGGATTTTATCAACTGGTTTATGGCAGTTCGTTTTATGGGTGTATCATGAACTCTTCTGCTACTGTAAATTTGTTGTGATTTTTACATGTATTTGACAGTATACGACATAGGAATTAACGATCGCTATTTCCAAAAGCGCCCAAAATAATCTATGCCACCATTTTTTTTTTTTGATCGCTTGCCTATCCCGTAGATTCTTCGCAGTTGATCTGCATGATTTACTCCACCCATGAATGAGTTGTAATCTTTATCGGCAATTGGACATTGAAAATGTATTTCCTGGCCTTTTCGATATCATCTCTTGACTGTAGTTTGCTCAGTGCAATTAAAATTAGACGCCAATAATATTGGTGTATTATCTTTCGATTTACAAACAATTACTCCATTCGTTGATAACCGTTTATCTCCTCTTTCCATTTGCCTGTCTAGCTTCACGCGTGAAGAAAATCCTTTTCAATTGTCTCTAATTGTTCCACATGTAAACACTTTCTGAGTTTAGAGAGACTCTAGAGTCTAACGGAAGTAAAATTATTATCAAAATACACATACTTGTTCTTGCCTCACTCATCTTCTGTGCGAGACAAAACCACTATCTCCCCGAGCCCAACGGTACTAACAAGTCTCCAAGAGAAAGTCGATTGTTACTGTCAGACAAACAAGAGATAGATATTTCTAGTTTTATTGCTGTTTTAATAATTCTTGAAACTAATATTTTCTTTTTGATTCGAAGAAAAATATTGAAAAAATTGCAGAAAATAATTTCAAGAAAACAACACTCTTAATTCGACTGCACTATAGCTAACGTCAACTTGCAATGAGCACATAGAGCAAAAATATAATGATTGTTCCGAAAAATTTAGTGATATACATATATTTTTTAAAATGTACTATAGAGTACCGTTAGCCCGCATTCGTTTATTCAGTTTATCAGAGCAAAACAATTGATTGTATTTTAAAGTACCGTCGGACGACAAGGGGTTAACAATTGAATTTTGGCTTGTTCTTAGATTTGTAGCTGCATTTGTTAAACTCGTTCAAGCACGCTGGTATTTCACTTTCATAAAACACTTTTATGAATAGGAAAAAGGATGGTAAACCTTTTGCTGTTCTATGAAATACTTCAAAAATTAAAAACTCATACAAATAGTTCCCTTAGACTAATATGAAACCAAATTTTTATTCAACTCAATAACGGTATGTTGAATTATTTAAATTTAAGTGTTTTCTGCGATAAAAATTGTATCCATTTAATAGTATTATTTGAAACTGATTCCGCTTGAATTCTTGGTAAAATAAATTGACCATCAGTTATACCCAAAAGCATGATATTATTTGATAAAATGCATTCAATGTTCATTAAACATTTAATAGGCAGTGAAATAAATATATCGTTTTGTAAGCATCTACGTCAATTGAAGAAAAATATGGTTAGGCAAGTAAGGAAGGGCTAAGTTCGGGTGTCACCGAACATTTTATACTCTCGCATGATAAAGTGATAATCGAGATTTCAGGCGTGGTTATAAACCGATTTCACCCATATTTGGTACATGTCATCAGGGTGTTAAGAAAATATTATATACCGAATTTCATTGAAATCGGTCGAGTACTTCCTGAGATATGGTTTTTGGTCCATAAGTGGGCGACGCCACGCCCAATTTTCAATTTATAAAAAAAGCCTGGATGCAGCTTCCTTCTGACATTTCTTCCGTAAAATTTAGTGTTTCTGACGTTTTTTGTTAGTCGGTTAACGCACTTTTAGTGATTTTCAACATAACCTTTGTATGGGAGGTGGGAGTGGTTATTGTCCGACTTCTTCCATTTTTGAACTGTATATGGAAATGCCTAAAAGAAACGACTCTATACAGTTTGGTTGACATAGCTATAGTAGTTTTCGAGATATGTATGTAAAAAGTTAGTAGGGGCCGGGGCCACGCCCACTTTTCCAAAAAAATTACGTCCAAATATGCCCCTCCCTAATGCGATCCTTTGTGCCAAATTTCATTTTAATATCTTTATTTACGGCTTAGTTATGACATTTTATAGGTTTTCGGTTTCCGCCATTTTGTGGGCGTGTCAGTGGGTCGATTTTGCCCATCTTCGAACTTAACCTTCTTATGGAGCCAAGAAATACGTGTACCAAGTTTCATCATGATATCTCAATTTTACTGAAGTTACAGCTTGCACGGACGGACGGACAGACAGACATCCGGATTTCAACTCTACTAGTCACCCTGATCACTTTGGTATATATAACCTTATATCTGACTCTTTTAGTTCTAGGACCTACAAACAACCGTTATGTGAACAAAACTATAATACTCTCTTTAGCAACTTTGTTGCGAGAGTATAAAAATATGCAATAGAAAGTTACGAGCAATTACCTTTAGCGGAAGTACTTAATTTAAAAGGTACAGGACACGTCTAGACCTAAGCCTCACACCCAATGTGACAACCAAACAAAGAGAGTTTTTGCAAATTAAAAAAAAAACTTCTTTATCAATTAGTTTAAAATCTTATACTCCGACAAAATAAAATCTTTCTAGAAGATTTTGTTCACGACACAGTCGAAAAAATCAAAAATTGACAAAATGGCGCCGTTGAAATCGTTTTCAATTTTATTCAATTTTATTCAATATGTCATTGTATGGAAAACTAATACAGAACAACCACATAAAATCAATAGTCATCGAGACATTTGTTTTCGATTAATCACTCAAGCAAATTTGAAGAATCTGCAGGATATTCCAATAAGAGTGATATGATTTCTTGAGTAAAAAATACAGAAACAACAATTGTTAAGGAAATCCAAATGCTTTTTATTTATTTTGAAGTGCAGTCGATACGATTTTTCATCTTCTTATTCAGGAACGCATTCGATGAATCCAACTTTCAAGTATTTTTCCACTAAATCAAGTCGTATGTATGTCATGAATAGCACATTCAATATTGACTTCTAAGGCTTTAAGACAGTTTGGATTATTGCTAAATATCGATGACTTAAACTAACCTCACAAGGGATAGTCTAATTGATGTTAAATTACAATTTCTTGGAGGCTCTTCAATGTCATTATTTTTTGAAATAATCGAAACTAAAAACTTTTATCGCAATAATTCGGCTGTTGCATGTGCTGTGTGGCACTTAGCAACGCCTTTTTGTAACTCGACGTTGTCAAGTTAACTTCTTCTGAAAGTGAACCTCATCGAAGAAGATTCTTAAAAACATAGTTATCATTTTCAAGTAGCTCCAAGGCAAAATCAGTCACCACGTTTACAATGGTGCGATGGCTTCAGTTCTTGAGTGAGAACCAATATATACAGATACAAGCCCAAGTCTTTTCTCAAAATCTGCCTGGTTGTGGTTTGAGAAAAGTCCCAGTTCTTGACAACGTCTTTTAATCGCTCAAATTGTGCTCTTCAACAACTCTTGCCTGAACGGCAGTAATATTTTCATGACTTCGAAAGGCTATTTGTCTTATTGGCACTCGAATATTAAGTAAGGAAAATGTACGTTCAATATTTTCAACAATTCGACGAAGCTGATGAAGCTAATTTAACTAGCGGCCACTCTATAGGCTGTAGCTCAAATATATTTGAAATATTAATTCACAATTTTAGAATGTTATTTTTAAAGGTATAGACTAATGAATATGTAGAAAATAATAATTTTTAAAAATTTCTGTCCTAAGGGTTTAGGGGTATCAGAATTTAAAAAAAAATATTTTTTTTTGCATTTTCGTTAAGTGTAATATCCGTTCCGATAATTAGTTTTTGAGTAACTCGGCAAATGACAAAGAGAGCTCGGGCACTTCAAAGCGCTAGTGCGAAACTTTAAACGAGTTTTTCTCAAAACTATGTTTTTGAACTGGTGGCAACTGTAACTCGAAAAACGCTCAGTAGATTTTAATGAAATTTAGAATACATAATAAACTCGGGCCTGATCGAAGGATTTTTATTTTTTCAAAAATTTCGATTTTTTAAGACCAAAAAATTTAGAAAAAAATTTCCTGAGGCCGCCATTTTCTCCAAGGACTTATGGTTGTCACCGCAAGTGGAACTTTGTGAACACAAACAACTATAACTTTGGAAATAATTTTTTTTATTTTTGAAATTTTCGTGACTTCAAGTCAAAACATTCTATAATAATGTCATATTACTACTTTTGTAAAACAACACGATTTAATAGCAAAAAAATACTGAAAATTCTCATTTTTTCGTGGGGTTAGGGGTAGTCTAACCCCTTAAAAAATTATTTGATGTATTATATACCTAATAATTACATATGTATATATAGATAAAATGTGAAGTAATGTTTCACACCAGCTTTCTATATAGATCTTCAGGCAAAAACTCTTCAAAATCCGATTAAAAAGTAATTTTCCCAGGCACTTTTAAACGCATTGAAAAAGTCTGTTCAAAATTAGACAAAACTTCCAAACAGCAAACCACAAATAAAAATCATATACAAAACAGCCGTCAAGCAAAGCAACTGTTGACCGCAAAATTTCGTTCAAAGCTATTTTAAGCTCCTGCAATAAAAGTGTAAGTGCAAAAGTCACTTTCCTCAGTGCAGCAGCAGCAAAAAAGAAGCATAAAATAATAATAACAAGCGAGACAACAGTTAGAAATTACACACATTCGCGCCCACTTAACGCACACTTTCCACACACTTGCCGCGCCAAATACGCCACTAAAGCGCACTAATACGCCGATGATTGAATAAAAATCGCCTATTGTTTGCTTACAATAACACAGCGCTGATGAATGGCGGTCT